CTTTCTTGGGGGCATTTGCAAAGATTTGCGACATGCGTTCACCGCGATCGAGCTGTCGATCGAAAGTGAATCGCGTGAGAAATCGGAATCTATTCGATGGCTTCGTCGACGTTTTTCGTATAATTCTCTTTGCTCACGGTGGGTTAAACGGCATAATTAAAAAGTAGTTTCTCCAATTGCAAACTTCTGCTCCATATAACGACCCGATTCTACCCGGGAATTAGAAATGTTATTGCGTCAACGCGGATCGCTATCGGTGTTGCCTCGAAAGTATTTCCACACAAAAACCAGGCGATTAAGCATTTTTCTATGACGAAACGTTTCTAGACATTCTCGAAACGATTAAGAACCTACGATCGATTAGGATAGCTTTGTACACACGCGTCGAGCATGGTAAAAAGCTGTTTCGAAAATTGACGGGCAATTGACCGTGAAATGTTGGTAAAAAGCGTGCCATGGATACAGGACACGCGTTGTCCGGACAAAGGCCGACTCGACGATTCGACGCGGAAGGATCCTTTACACGATCGACGTTCCTTCCTTCGATTTCGTCCTGTCAGGCCTTCGTATGGTTCTTCGCAAGCTGTTTTACGCCGCAAGTCGATCGCTTCTGACTACGATGCGCAAACGCGTTACGACGAAGACTGTTTTGCACACTGTAAAGCGCTTTGATGGACGTTCGAGGGCCACCCGAGAGAAATTGCTTTCTTCGTTTCGCGCGCACGATACAAAGACGAACGAGTCGTTCGATATTCTTGTTATTAATTTCCTTCCACGGGCGAAAGGTTGTAGATACAAAGAATTATACGAGAAACACGTGGAACAGGAAGAGACGATATTTTCGACAACCGTGAAACATTGGCTCTCTGATGTCTGGACGCTCGAATGGCAGATTTCGTTTCTTTTTTTTTTCTTCTTCTTTTTTTTTCTCTCATCCAATCACGTGCTTGGCCTTCCGAGTCGGCAGTTTCTTTTGGGTCGCTCTGTACGACAACGTGCACGCTGGCATTGAGTTGTAGTCGTAGTAGAATAGAGCAACTAACCAACTAACCACGAGACGTCAGTAGGACAGTGAAAGGCGACCTAGACCAAGTCTCTCCGGCGCAACGCTGCTGGAACTTGACGAGGAACGCCGCTGTTTTCGTACACGTACGTACCGCCACGGTGTCCAGGTGTTCGCGTATTGCATCTTCGCAGACGAGCTAATCTTTCCAGCCGACGAAATCGAAATAAGTCGCGACTATTGCCAGCCCTATAAGTAGGATTCTCCGTAATCTTCCGTGGAACATAAAGTGGTCTCGCGGATTAAACATTTTCTCGATCGAGGATACATCCGAGAACGTATCGAATAATCAAGATTTAGTGTCTTATGGAAAATATTAATCTTTCGAGAATGATTAAATATGGGGAATAATTTTCACGAACGAGTAAAGTATCGTTACGTTTAATTCGCTATTCGTGATCAATTAAAACGGAAAAATACTTGTATACCGATCGGTACCGACAGATCGATAATCCGATAATAAGAATAGCAGCTGTCAGGTTTTATCTCGGTGAAGCACGCACGTGGGCTCTTACCTTTTACGAGATATTTGAGTGCCTGTGCAAGCCTACGGCAGCATACCACAGCAATTTATTAGCGGAAATTTCTTTTCTCGTTGCATCATGCTCGGTACCACCTAGCGAACCTATGAAACCCCCAATGAAATCACAATACAAGTGGAATTTCTAATTGACCGCGCGAGAAACCGTACCGAATTTTCTCGAATTCAGATCCTCTGGAATTTTGTAACGAACCCCGGAACTCGTTCTAATCCGCTTACTTTTCCCAAACGATCAACTTTTCACGAACCATCGAAAACCAATTAGCCATGGATCGTACAAACAACGGTTATAAATTTCAAGTGTCTTCTCTGTGTGCCAGTGGCAACAAGTTATACCTACCTCGTGATAAATCTCCCGCGGGTAAAGTCAAAACAAGCGGCCGAATAGCCGTGCTAAAAAATTATCCTCGTTTTATCGTCGATAAACGAACCGTTTCGTTCGAAATAACGTCGCGAAAGGAAGGTTCCCATGCAGACGAGCAAACTTCTAACCGTTCTACGCGAGATGTAGAATCAGCCAGAGGCTATGAGAAAACTGGCAGAGCACATGATAAATATTCATAAGTCGATCCATCGGGAAACAGCGTCGTTCGGAAAATGATTAAAACGATAGATTTCGAGGTAGGTGATTCATCGACGTTGCGCGCACCAGGAGGATACAATCGGCCATTGCCGCGAAGATTTTCACTTGGGTAGCCAGTGTTGTCCGAAAAGGATTTACGATTGGCAAAAAGGCAACTGCCGCGGCAGTTTCGCCATCGAGAACGCGGCACGAGAGAGTCGAGACACTCTTCTCCCGGGGCCCTTTCGATTTCGTTCCGATTGCAGCCGAGGATGTGTGTCGACATTGCCCTCCTTAACCGGCGAAAGTTCCACCGGCTAATTGAACTTCTTAATCTTCGACCGGTTCCCGCTCCTCGTCTACCGTCGTGTTCGGATCGCGCTGCTCGCGCGGAATTTCGGTTGACCAACTCGACGCTGCCAGGCGTGATTAGCGCTTATAAATCGGTTATTCCGGCCGATCGAATAATAATGACGTTAAAAACGCTGTTTCTCGATCGAGATTTTGTTCCGTTCTAGAGAAGATAGGATTGAAAGTTGGAACGAGGAACGCGTTAATAACGAAGTAATATCTTTTGAATGTCTAGGTTTCGTTTATTTCGTTCGTATAACGTATAACACAGTTCAAAGTTTAAGACAGGAGAATTAACGACGGAGGATTTTAGAAGGAGATTAGATAGCCTGTCCAATACTAGCAAGGAGCTGTACGAAGGCCTCGGTTCCCGGAACACGCTAACGTGACCAGAAACAAATCCATCTGAAAACAAACGTTAACGACAATAATTAAACTTTTTTTTTATTCCTTTGGAACACGCTTGGCTCGCAAAAGAAACGTGATTTATCGTTGGACAACTTCCTGGATGAGATTAGACGTCAAGGTTACTCTTCGGCAACAGAAGAACCACGTGTTAAAGACAAGCGTTGAATTCAATCAAAGTCACGCGTGCTATAGAAATTGCTCTCCTGTTGGCGGAAATGTTGAAATTCCTTTCGAATGGAGCGTTGATCGAATAGATAGATTTGCCGAAGGTTGTACCCTCGACACGTGTAGAATACACAGGGGGCTACATTGGCAGCGTGCGACGTTTGAACATTAACGGGTCAATGGCGCGGCGAAACGACGTTGTGCCGTAAACACATTCGTATTCTTGGACAGTGTTTCGGAGGTCGGTTACCGTGCGCGGCCAATTAACGTTGAAATAAAATCCGCTCGTGCGCCATTCCTCGCGTTTTATTATCATGCGCGAGCCCATTCGACAGGAAGTTTCTTGGCCGGACGGCTCTTGAATCATTTCGCCCGCTAACGAAATCGTTCCCCGATCCCCTGGTGAAATCTTCTTCCTTTCTTCGTCCACGTATATTGCTACGCGTTCTCGGTACAAACGTTATTCTGGCACAAAGAGGCGCAAAAGTAACGCAAGCTTAACCAATTAGAGGCAAACGTTGCGTGAAAGTAACATTCCACTGGCTACTTGTTTTTAATTAATTTATAATTATTACACTCTGTTCTTAACACCGCGGCGATATTTCGCCGCTATTTTTCTCGGTTAGTTTTCTACAGTTTCGTGAGATTTATGAGAAGAAATTGAAGTATTTGCAATATCGTGGCAAATCACTGTTTAATTCTTAACGAGTTAGTGGACGATAGGTGAAAAAGAAATTCTTAGAAACGATGAAAGAATTTTACGGTGCGTAGTTCGCCATCTTTCGTAATGTTAGTTTTTCAAGGAATATTTTACTCGAATCTCTTTCGTTTTGTTACCTTTATATCGTTTCGTATTTAGCGACGTCGTTGATAGCTTTAGGAAATTGCGTAAATCAAAAGAGAGCAGGGTGGACAAATTGGGGAACAGTGGTTTTTGACCACCCGTTGTGTAGGTGGATGTCTGTTATAGTCCGCAGACTCCTACTCGCTGTCAGCGAAAACCGCATCGGTGGGATAGTCGGTGCAATGGAACGCGAGGGAAATGAGAAAAGTCGGGCACCGATGAAAGTGAGAGGATACCGGCTACAGGCTGTTCCAGTTAGCCTGTTTCCTACCCGTCAGTCACACGGAGAAAGGATTTCTATCGCGTACTCTTGTCCCTTTTATTTGCAACCAAATCCTATGCATACGGGATCGCGTGTCTGACGATTACTTTCTAAACAATCGCCAGAGAACTGTTGCACTGTTTCGTAGAAAGTCTACGGGAGAATTTTCCTGAGAATTATCAGCTCCTTTTTTCATAATTTTCTTCATAGACCCTTTAAGACCTTTAAGAGGAGCAAAAGTCCGCGCCGGAGATGGCACGAAATCTCATTCACCGTGGAACAAAGCCAATCGCGATTTCGCAGAAACGCGGTGGATAACTGGAGAGACCGCCGTTATAAATAATGTCATGACGCACATAAGTTAGACATACAAAAATACGAAGTGTATCTTGAAAGCGTTTCGAACGAATGATAAATCACAACCGTGAGTTTGACGATTTATTCCTGGACACCTCTCAGCTGATGTTTTTCCCTGGGCGACGATCATCGGTAGAAATCGTCGTGCTAGCGCACCGAGTATCGCGAACAAATATCGATGACGTTTATGCAACCGCGTAACTGGACATTTAAAAATTACCAGCATAGACACAGTCACCGTGACACTCTACAAATGAAAGTTTTATTCCGCCAGTGCTGAACGATCGCGTCGTCAGCTTATACTAAACTTTATTTATTTAGTTACTTCATTCTGTCGTTATCACATCGTTATGATATTCTATCGTTGTCGGTCTATTCGTCGTCATCGTCGAAAACGCTCAAATATTCTGATCTAAGCTGATGAAAAATGCTTTTCTGTGATTGCAGGTTGACCGTTCGAATGAAAGTCGTTTGAACGGTCGCGAGAGTCCTCCCACGAGGAAGAATCCCGGCTAGAGGGTGCGAACCGGTACTAGGACAGGGACAGAAAGACGGAAGAGAAGAGGACAGGAACGAAGCGTCGATTGATCGCCGTATGATATAATGGCAGGCGAGGACACTCAGATCCTGGCGAACGGAAACGTCGAAGCGCTGACGATAATTCCACCGAAAATGGCGAATGGGAATGGACTGATTTGCGGGAAGCAGCACAACAACAACGGCTCGATACCAAACGGAAAGTTACACGAAATCGGTGCAGCTGAAAACGGAAAGCTGATAATGTCTGACGAGAAATCGAGCAGTCTTCACACGGAGTTCGACGACGCGGACGTGTCTTGCGGCTGGGGCCCGTGCAGGCCACACTGGCTTCAGTATTTCGCCACGAAGCAGGCCTTCCTGGTCACCTTCTGCATCACCTGGGTTGGTTTGGGTTAGGTTTGGGTTAGCTTCTGGGTTGGATTTTCAATTCAATGGAATTCAAGTATTCTCGATGATTTTTTTCACTCCTTCGTTCTAAATTGTTTTTTCTAATTTGAATTTTCCTTTAAAATTGCGAAGATCAAATTTTGCGAATTAAACGATTAGCGACATTTCGAGCCTGCTGCGTTCTTCGGATCGTTTTCGACTTTAATCATAGTTTTCTGTCGATCAATTTTCTTTTTATTTTTCTAGCTCGGACGAATACAGAAAACGATCTTCGACAAGATACACGATCCTTCGTTTTACTTTCACGCTAGCCTTTGTCAAATCGTTAAAGATATTTTTGTTCGTCGAAACGAGAGCAAAATCGAGCGATATAAAAATTCGAAGACCGCGGCAGAGTTAAAGATTCTTATCGCTTTAAAGTGAAATTGCGCGTGGATTTGCAGGTCCTCCAGGGAATGTACTACACGTACTTCGTCTCGGTGATCACGACGATCGAGAAGCTGTTCCAGATTCAGTCAAAGACCACCGGTATTATAATGTCAGCGACGGAGATCGGCCAGATCGGTTCCTCTCTCCTGCTTACGTACTACGGGGGCCAAGGTCACCGGCCTAAGTGGATCGCTTGGGGCATGATCCTGTTCGCAGTGAGCTCGTTCACCTGCTCGATGCCCCATTTCATCTTCGGTGAACAGCTGATCCATCAGAACGAGATGTTTTTCAGCGGTTTCGAGGGTGGCGACCCAAACAACACCCATCCTATTCCCGCGAATCTTTGCAAACTGCAAGAACGATCAGAGAACGCTACGCTGGATAGGTGAATAGAATCCCTTCTCTTTAATCTCTTACACGGCTGTCGTCGCGTTTCTTAGTACTTTATTTCTTGACGCTTAATAAATAGTTGCTCTAGATTTTATTCGCTCAAAGAGATTCAAATTTATTCGTTTACTACGTATTTTTTTACATATTTTTTTACATGTTTAGTATTTATTTTTAAAACCGTCGATATTATTGGAGCGACAAGCGCGTTCTTGAAATTATGCAATTTCTGTCCGACCCATTTCTCCTTACCTGCCTTCATTCCAACCGTGATCGATCGTACCTTTTTTTAAATGGGTTAGGTCCCGTGTCTATCCCCTTGCTCTTCGCGTTTATAAATAAAAGGAAGAATCAACAGGCCACGTTACCACGCCGTAAACGTTCGAACAATCGAATAGACTAGATGCTCTGCAAACCGTACGGTATTATTGACAATTCTTTTTTTTTCTTGTTTTTTTTCTCTCTCATAGTTGGATCTCGTCCACGACGCCGGCTCAAATGAATACGATGAATTACTGCAAGGGTGACTCGTTGACGGAGCAGAGGATACAAAGTAAAATAACTACCGTGGTCCTGGCTATATTTTTTGTCTCCTTGTTGGGCGTTGGAATGGGTCAGACGGCAGTCTACACCCTTGGTATTCCTTATATCGACGACAATGTGGCCAGCAGAGAAAGCCCACTCTATTTCGGTAAGAATACAATCGCGTAAGAATACAGTCGTATCGCGATCCTATTATATTTCGAAGAAAAGAGTGGAAACAGTACGTGCTTCGAGTTATGTCGGAAAGCAAACTGTTCTCGTTACGAAGCTTCGTCTTGGCGAGCCTCCAGAATCATCGAATACGTACAACTTTGATTTTGATCATCTCGGTCCATTGTCGTGTTATCATCGGAGTTTCAACGTTGTCGAGAATTTGCATACTCATGGAACGCGGCGTCGATGCATTTTGTTACAGCGATTACGATCGGAGTGAGGATCCTCGGACCAGCCCTAGGCTTCATTCTAGGCTCATTGTGCACGATGATTTACGCGGATTTGTCGGCGAATCCGCAAATCACGCCGACGGATCCAAGATGGGTGGGAGCATGGTGGCTTGGTAAATTGAAATTTCTTACGTACTTCCTTACAATCTCGTCTTCTCGGAAACACCGATCTTCCAAGCTTTTGTTTTATGATTAATCGTTTCCTTTGATTTTCATATCGTCGAATCCTTCTCCTCCATTCCCGTATCGTAGCCTAGGTTTTGCAGAATTTACGAAACGTCATAAGAAAAAGAAAATTGAAGAAAACGCGTGCAATTGTGTGTTTCAGGTTTGGTGCTAATATCCGCCATGCTGATGCTGGTCAGTATAGGAATGTTCGCATTCCCGACGCGGCTGCCCGCGAGCAGAACACCGCCGAAACGGGCGGATGCGAAAAAGCCTAGTCTCCGAGGTAAGCCCTGATTTATCGTGGCGATGCGAACTGTTCGTCAGCGAGAGGCCGATGTTTAAGCTGCGACCATCGGATCAGAACGGTTTAATTTGATTTTATGACTTCCCGTAAGCCATTCCGCGACCGTTCTCTCCCCGTGTTTGGTAGCCGCCCCCACGAAATGGGGAAGATTCGACGAGAAAGATAAAAGTATCGTCGATCGTCCCGAAACCTCGTATTAATCGTAGTCCAGCCGCGTATGTGTATATCCGGTCGTGCTGGGTTGATTCCGTTCGCGACTATGCAACGAATGGCCCCCTTGTGTCGCGCAGACATGGCTGTCGCTATAATTTTAAATTACTCGATACTTTACTGCCATAATATGCGTTCACTGGCGAGCAGCGATAAGAAATTACAAAATAAGACATTTATGGTTCGACGAGGTTATCTACGAACCAACAGAAAATTTCCCATTGAAATAATCAAATGTCACGTAGACCTATTTTACATACGCGTTCATTTCGTTATCGTTTACTATGTTGATTTGTTTATTTAGGTTTCGTGAATTGTTTGTTTACGTTTTCGAATTGTGTATTTAGGTTCGTACTCGGGAAACAAATAGCCGATTGTTATGTTATCAACACGTGACACACGAATCACGAAACGCGTTAATAAGCGATCATCATTGGTCCAATACGAACATTTCTACGTGCGGATGTTTTGGCAAGACGACGAAACAATGGGGGCATTATGTATTCGGTGAACGTTTATCGGAACGAAAGGACGGGCCAATAAGATGATCTTTGAAGCGTGAACCTGGCAGTCAAGGTCAGTGGCGAATTTAGGTTCAGAGCCGGCGTGTCTGCTCGTTCGATCGTGAGCACGCAGGCTAACGCTTTCTGAAACACGGGCGAGCCCTTTTCTAGGAACCCTTTGCGCTGGGACAGAGCGGGGCCGACCCTTCGTGCGTTTATTCTTGGTCCGCTTCGTTGGAACTTTCGATCGAAGGCCGCGTAACATCTGTTCGACGAAAGGCACGAGAATGATAGAAAGGCGTTCGATCACGCCGAATGAAAGAGTTTAATTTCTTTAACGAATAATATGTTTAAACGCAGAGGAGAATTATAAATTCCAGCAACGCGACCATCAACTTCTCCGTACCTTTTTTTTATCCTTGACCGACAGTGTTTCGGAATGTTGTTCCTGAAAGAGGCAACTGCTCAAAATGCAGCACGAATCGCATCGATAATGAGACATGTACGTTCCAGTGCAGCACGTGCATTTCTCTGCTGCATTTCATCGTACACGTTATTTAAAAATAACTCTGACCACCGACTTTGAGCCTATTTGCGCTTAATTTCATCGTTAGCATATCGGACGTTGCGAGTCGACTCGTTCGATCAACCAGAAATATTCAAACTCGACGCTCCGATCTTACCATATTACATACGTACGTACAACGATTAATCACGAAGAGAAACGCAGTGGCGAAACGTTATCTCGATGAAAATTCAGTTCCGAAAGAATCGGAGATCAGTTGATTCGGCCGCTTGGACGGCAATAGCGAAGCAAATTGCTCGTGTTTTCGATGTTCGACGAAAAACTGAGGCGCGCATCCGGCTAGCAGGAGAATAATTTGCTTGCGGGGTCGTGGTTCACGCGAGATGCAGAGATTTAAAAGAGAAGAGGAGAGTGAAAAGACTTGGTGTGTGTGTCGCTTGGCGCATTTCTGGTGCGTTACGTCGCGCGTGTTATGTCGGCCAAGGTGCACGAGACAGCTGAGATAAGTTCTCTTCCCGGCGAGGAACGGATCCACGCGGCCTGAGGAGAACAGGGCCGTATATGCACGCAGAAATGCACGCGCGCGCGTGCCTACCGAGCGCTATGCACGACGCATGACCGTGAACTTGCCCCACCTAGTGCACCAGTCGGTCAGTCATCATTATTAACGCACACACGGGTCCGCCGCGTTCACACACACGCACGACCGCCGATCCTTTACTCCTACGTACACATGGCACACCGGAGAGACGAGAAATCCGAAGACGTTTCGGGCCTTTCGACTCCTTTTTGCCGGGAATTTCCAGAAACGATCTGCTTGCGTATCGACCGACCTCCCATCGAATGCTTTTTATCCGAACTGTATGCGTAACTTTGATTTCGAACAGGTTACACCGATACCGTACATAGAACTGGCTACTTTGAATTCTAAAGCGATTTTCGGTGGTTCGATGCGAGGAGGAAAGTTTCCAAGAGGAAGTTGCAAACGGAGTATACAAGAAGCTGGTTGGAAAAAAGCTGGAATGTCGTGGAGTTACGATGACGAGCTACGGTTCCAACAGGAACTTCCGTACGTGGCACTGTCGTGAAGTAGATCGTGCAATGCCAGAAGATGCCTCGGAGGACAGGTCGCCGTTGAATCAACAACATGCACGCGATTCGCGTATTACTCGATTCGCTAGCGTCCGTTTGAAGACTTCATTCGAAATTTTCCTCGGGAATACTATCTCTCCGAACTTTGCTCGAAACGATGATTAACCGACGTCTTTAAAGATTTTCTTGGTCGATTCCTAGTTACGTATCGTTAACATAAGCGATAGAGATCCCTTTGTTTCCAAGTTATCAGTCTTTTCGCCTTTTTATCTCCTGTGTTCGAGGAGCCGTACAGCCGTTTCAGTGACTCTTTGCGATAGGCCACCCTGTATGTGCCTGTTGCAGGGTTGTCGCGATAATACACGGAGCGCAATGTTAGTCACGTTTGTCTACTCATGGTCTGCAGGACTTCTCTATGCGGGGTTGCCACGACTCTAGCCTGGCCTTCCTGGAAGCCTAGAGCAGTCCTAGGCATCCTTAATGTCAGTTTCCACCTAGGGTTTCTCGAACGGAAACCTCGCACGAAGGCGGACGCCTCATCGTGCATCGTTCTCTCCGCTTCTTTTTCCACTCCCATCCTTTCCCCCATCCGTTCCATGCAGGAATTCGCGTTTTTTACGATTGCTCGAAAATCGATGTTTCATCCGATCGTGCCACGTCGCTTCTTGTTTAGCGTTCTCCTTCGGACCTTTTTTCACCCAATTTTTACTTCTCGTAATTGCGTCAATCGTTGATTGTGTCCTTCTTCCATCGACGTTTCAGATCGGCGACTAAAAAAAAAAAAAGCAGTCGTTGAAACCGTCGAAAGAACTTTAATTCGAAGGTTTTAGGTCTCCGTGCGAGTTCTCGTTTACTTCGTAACATTTGCATCGATAACATTTACGAGATGCACGAGGTTAAACCTGATAATGCGAGCTATTCTAACGAAGGTGCAAGCTCGTTTGCGAAGACTGGTCTTGTTCGATCGACGGTATATGTCCGATTATCAGTTACAAAATAAGAAACTCGTCTGTTTGAAGCTGATACGTCAAGGGACGACGAGCGTGTGGAAGAAAAAAGATAGGAATAAAATAGCCCGCCGCTCTTATCGGAATCTTTCAAAAGATTCTACGTGTCTCGCGAAACCTTTATCGCTGCCTGTAGCTGCAGATCGTTTCTCGTTTTTCCCATGTCGATGAAAGCATCGGCGTTGCGCTTTCTTTTTCTCATCTGTTTCTCGTTTTTCGAGCTTCGGGCGGTTGCAGGTCGCTCTCTTCCCCTCCGTGCGTGCTCCCACTTGCGCTCGTGTTGCTTCGTCGGGTTCCCTCGAAAATAGAACGAAGGAAAACTCGATCGACGTCTAATTAGCTGGTGGTTCGTAATTGAGTTTATAAATATCGGAAAATATCGGTGGCCGTGTTCGATTCTCTCGTGCTTCGGTCGAGCACGGAAAGGAGGCAGATCGAAATGGAAACTGTCTAGGAAAAAAAAAAAGAAAAAAATAGTAAATTCACTTAAAGTTGCTTTTTTCCTTCGTTAACTGTACGAAGAATGCATTTTTCTTGCATGTCGTCGTAAGATTTATTTTCGTAATTTGTTAAGAAACACGAAGAGTCGCGAATGCAAGGCTTGGGACAAAGAGCCGAGAAGCGAGAAAGACGATGAACAAATTTCATGTAAATGGTTTGGCTGCAGGTCGCGGTGCTCGGCTCGCGTCGCCTGCACGACTCGGTAGACTCGCTACACCTCGCCTTTTCTCTCTACCTGTTGCAGACTTCCCTAAAGCGGTGAAGAGGCTGTTGAAGAACGACATTCTTATGTTCCGGACGGCCAGCAGCGTGCTGCACATCCTACCGATCGCCGGCCTCTACACCTTCCTGCCAAAGTACCTCGAGAGCCAATTTCGCTTGCCAGCTCATCATGCGAACATGATCTCAGGTAATTTTCGCGAATAGACACGCGAGGGGAGTTTCTGGCCCCGAATCTTGTTGTTCTCGTTAACTTTTTTCCATGGAAGTACTTTTGTTGAACTCCTTCGAAGCTACGCTTTCATTCTCCAACGAACACGGACAAAGTTGTTTCTCCTTTTTCAAAGGGGATTCGATCGAAAAAAGGAATAAAACAAAACAAACGGAACGTTTTATTCGAATCGAATGAAACAGTCGACTGGAGTAAACGAAAATCGTTTACTCATCGTAACAGAGGCCTGGTCTTGATCCTAAGCTGTCTTATTTTTTCGCAGGTGTCGGTGGTATTTTAGTAATGGGTCTGGGTATTATAATTAGCGGAGTGTTTATCCTGAGGGCAAAGCCTAACGCCAGGTTCGTCGCAGCCTGGATCGCCTTCACAGCGATAGTTTACGCGATCGGCATGGGCGTGCTGATGTTCATCGGTTGCCCGATGGACGATTTCGCTGGTCTCGTCTCGCATTCCAACGGGTAAGATTTGGTTTTCCTCTCTGCACTCAACTAACCGTCCGCTCCATTTCAACGTTTTCATCTTGCACTTAGGCTAATTGCACTTACTTCTCATTCGGTCGTTTGCATAAATTACTCTGTATGAAATGTTTATAGTTCCGACCGCGGGAAGTTTAAAGTGAAATAAAGAGATAAGCTCTGGTGCAGATGATTTTACATATGTTGATGATGGCCGTTTACGTAGGTTTTATTGAAAAAGAAATTGACATTAAGCAAGCGACAAAATCCTTTTAGATTGTCCAGCTTCGAGCCGGTCTGCGAGGCTACCTGCGACTGCGTTCGGAACAAATTCAGTCCGATTTGCAGCGCTGATGGGAAAACTTATTTTTCCGCGTGTCACGCGGGTTGTTCCAATTACACAGTCGTCGATGGCAAGGTAGCTTCGGTGAGTATCACGACAATTTACCATCACGATAAACGATGATAAAGATTCATTACGAAGGAATTACGAGAAAAATCATCCACGCGTCAAGCGGATAGCGTTAAATAATTATATCGAATAGGTAGTTAAGTAAAAAGTCTCTGACACGTACGATTATACGATTGATGCCAATTAATCGGGTAATACGTAAAACACGATGCAAAGCAGACCTCGTCGTCTCATTACGCCGATACGTCCTCGCGATTCGAATCGAATAACACCTTCGCTATTCCGCAATTTCATTGCATTCTCCTGATTGTATAGAGTCAGTGACGTCATCGCGGCAGAATATTGATATATAGCTCGTTGCATCGGGAAACAGCCGCGCGGCCGTAATTATCGGTGACAGTAGCATGCAACTAGGCTAGAAACGTTTCGTTGTTCTACCGTTTACGGACGAAATCGCGTTATTCGCCCGGACGATACAATGCTTCATTGATTGCGCAACTGCGCAAGTCATTACTTTCGCAATTGCCTAGTCGCGAGCATTTCATTTCCAGTTATTTGGATTTCACGCGATTTGACGCAAAATTAAAAAGTCTGAGATCGTTTCTCTAATTAATTGTCGCAGAGAAATGTAAGATAATCTTGAGGTTGCAATCGGATGGAGTTGCATTTAAAGTATCGAATGTGATAATCATCGCGACATTGTAGGAAGGAAAAACACGAGAGACTGTAAAAATCAAATATAAAAATGGTCGTCGAAATCATCGTTTTATCGTTTCCCTTTTGTTTCATAAAAAATTATTCGTCAGTTCGAAGTAGAAGTTTTGGAATAGCACGATATAGAACATAGTTCAGTAGTAGAACTGTTAAGTAAAGTTAAGTTAACTGTTAAGTAAAAGTTGATCGAACTAGTTTATTGGCATTAGCATACATTGACTTTGAACATATAGAAAACGGAACAAAGTTGCAACCGGTATGAAAACATCTGCATCAGCGTACTCGGCATATCTTAACGAGGCCGGTTCCTTGGCTTTTCAGTTTTACAACTGCCAGTGCATCGGGACGAATCTAACGGCACCGGAAACGACCAACACCGCGACGATCGGTTACTGCGAGCTCGAGTGCAGTAACTTTTGGGTTTATATGATCCTGTTCTCGGTGTTCGTTTTCATCCACTCGACCAGCGAGGTGGGCTCCATGCTGTTGATCTTACGGTGCGTGGATCCACGGGACAAGGCGATGGCTTTGGGGCTTATACAATTCGCCATCGGCCTCTTTGGTAATTATAAACCTTCAATTCCAACGCTTGTTTTTCTCAACGATGAATTAAACGAGATCTTGATCTTAATTATTATTTCCTTGGATCGATTTGGAAATCCAAAGGAAGTCTCGAGTTTGGATGATCTCAGAAATGAATTTATCAAACGTATGATCCGTTGGTCGGTTGGTTCCAGGTAACGTCCCGTGTCCAATCGTTTATGGTGCTGTGGTGGACTCTGCTTGTCTCGTATGGGAATACGCTTGCGGCGAGCGAGGTGCCTGCTGGCTTTACGACTCGAATGTCTTTAGAATGTTCTATCATGGTACGTACGCGGTTAGGCAGAAATCTGCGGCGAGGAGGAGTCGGAAATATCTTCACCTCGACCTTCCTGGCTACTGCTCGCTGTTGCTATTATATATCGAGGTTAAATTTCTCTTAACTTCACTTAACCCAAAGAATTGAACCGTCTCTGAACTTAGAAATTTAACCTCTTCGCGATACGTTTCATAATAGGCGATCTATTCTTTAATTAATAAATCTCTGCGTGAATCCTTGCTAGGTACCACAGGCGGAATCCTGATTCTTGCGTTCGTGGTGGACATAGTGGTGTGGTACAAGGCAGGGAGCATTAGCTTCGTGGAAGAGCAGGACGTGGAGGAGGGCACTGTTGAAGAAATGGCCACCCTGAAGTCGCAGGACGCGCAAGCGGTGGACAACGACTATTTGTGAAAGAGTCCCGGCCGACTTCGATGGTATCTCATCAAGCACAGGCCTGAATCTAGCGTCGTAAACCGGGACAAAGCGTGACGAGCCGTTCCTAACTGACGAGAACTCGGTGCCAGTAGCACGTCGGAGGTTTAAGACCGGGGCGATCTGTATCGATCTTCGTGTGTCACATTCGCCGGCCGTTTTCTATTTTTTTTTTTTTTTTTTT